AGGCGTGGAGTACGTTCGCCGTTGGCCCTTGTTGCGGTTGAAAGCACACGCACGCCTGGCATTACGCTTCGCAAACTGAAATATTAACTCGAAACGAAAGCTCCTCTCGTACTCGTCGCGACGTGCCCGGATTTGTGTAATAACGTGAAAATTGAAAAGCTTGCGATAAACGCGGGAAAAGAGGATTTCCGTGAATACTTTGTCCCGTTCCCCCCTCTGTGAAAGCTGAGGAACAAACAAGCGGAACTTTCCTCGCCAGGCTGATAATTACCGACGAAGAAACGTACAAGGATTGTGCTCTGGCTGGAATAATTAAATTCTTCTCTTCCTCTAGCGACACCAGCAACAAGCATGTTTCAATGTTTTCCCTCAAAATTGTAAACACGTTTAAACGTTAGATTCGCCAAAAAATTCGTTCGGATTTTAATGCGTAAATGAAAAGAGATTTTTCTTAGACAAGGAAATATCTATAAATCTCAACGTCGCGACAGTCGCATAGATTCGCGTTCCATCATTAGCGAATGCAAACTGCAATATTTCTACGCGGTTTCCTTACACTGTTCATACGTTTACCTAATAATATTTCGACTATGCCGTGGAAATCGTGACACGTACAAACATGACGAATACCGCGCTAAGAATCGAGACACCGTATATTCAGCAAGTGTTCCTGCTTGCCATCAACGATTCAACGATTCAACGATTCAGCGATTCCGCGATTCTGCACGACGGGAAACGATGACGCATTCGTCATTATCAAATATGAGAACAACCTCGATCCGCAGGTTTCACGGGCGAGGGAACAAGGATTTCAAATCAGTTGCAAGGTGAATTGATTTCTTACTGCATATGTGAAAGATGCACAGACATGGTTAGAAACTAGTGGCACCACTAATTTGCTTGCTCGCCGCGCGTTGAAACAATCATGACGACCATCCCCGTTCTACAAACCATTCTATGTTAGATAATCGTAAAGATAGCTCGGAAAAAGTTTTCCTTGCACGATTAATCCAGACCTAACCATTATAATATCGATATTTACACCCCAACCTCATTTTACACCGACCATAGTCGAGCCCTACAATCGAAGCGTTTCGGAACGTCGCGTTATACGATTACAAGACTATTATCGCAGTCGAGATGGATATTGAGTCAGAAAAGAGGAACACGTCAGTCACGTTTGCCAACTTTCGCACATGTAGATCTACGTGACAGCGAACAAAAGTTTCGCCGTCGAAACGTCATGCGCCAAACGTTTAACGAACTTCATTATTTTTTCCGTTACCGTGTTAACTATAACTATGTGGAACGCTTTATCGGGGTCGAAGCGAGGCCAAAGCACTAACTGCGTTACTGAGCCGACAAATTTGAATGCGAAGCATATATTCGCGACTGACAAGATTCGACGAGTTTCCATATTTGCGCGGAAAAATGGTAGCTTATTTCTTACCGATAACGAGTTTCCGAACTCCTTTATGTATTAATAACTTATGACGGGGGACTCACTGAATATTAAATTTCGCATTTGCATCTAGAAACCGAGGACAGACATTCTTTCCTTGATATTGAATCTTTTCCAGCTAGTATTTTTTATTTGTGTACATTGTACTTTGTGCCAATTAATTAGATCCCTGTATATTTTAGCATTACATTTAGTCAAACTAACGATTGAAGATAAAATTAAAATTGAACGCAGAATTTACATTGTAATATCGCAGCTAAATTTAATAAAGAAATACTTTTAATAAATGGTGTAGATGTTAGTATCTGTTTTTTTTTCTTTTTTTAATTGTGCTAGTTTGTAATTTTTAAAAAACTTTTGCGGCGTACTTGTCATGAAAAGTTGTTTTTCGTTTTATACTTAAAAAAAAATATTATTAATATTAATATATGCTTCAAGAAGAACATTTTCCGAATTTAAATTAACGATGGAATATCCGTTTACAATTATGACGGAACATTTCCCACGTTCTCCGTCAAATTATCGCGTTTAACTAGAGAAAAATGAAAACTAGATTTCTCGTCTCAAAATAAAAGACACCAGAGCTTGAGCCTTCGCTGATAAGCACTAGAACATGCGAGACACGTGTCCCATGCGCACCTTCTGTCGCGTTCAAACCGCGTATATTATGTGGTATCGGAAGCGCAACTCACGTAACCACCTATGGAAACCATAAATTCGCGACAAAGAAACGTCTGAAAAAATCAATGAACACCGGAAGTAGTCCTGAAAAGGAACAATGGATAATGGTCTAGCCTGCAACGGAGTGGAATTCACTATAAATCACAGTTGAACTTACAATTAGAGTTACTTGATCTTCTATACAATACTCCATTGCAATATAACATATATAATATAATTGCACTATAATAATTTCACATACGATCAATTCATTATACTATAAGCCTTCTTATTGAGTTGAATTTTTCTATATTATTTTATCATCGACCTCAATAACAATAAAAAGTGAAAAGTATTAAAATTTTCTACTCAAGCTACTTTGATAATCATGTCTACAATTGTCACCCTCTGTAATCGACATCAATTTGGAACAAAATAAATCATTTACAGTAATATATCAAATCAACTTTGCAAATACAATTTTATCGACCACGAAATTGTTTCCAATTTCATTTTCCGTTTCGAATATTGCTTTGGACTGGGGTGTGAAATTTGGTCGCCTTAATTGTTAATAATACAAATTTTCCCAGTACCACGAGTGGTTGACCCACGAATGGTCAGACCGCACTCGATTTGACAGGCAGTCCGTTTAAATAAACAGCGAAGCCACGTGCCAACCGAGTTACACACAACCAATCATAAATGCATTACCGCCTACGCTGCAGAATATTAAAAATTATTATTGCAACTTCGATCACTCAAAGTTTGAAAAATAAAAGCTCCACTACGCGATTGTCAATTAATGGAATCATTGATGTCAACTGGACGTAGGAGTCAATATATAAGTCAATAGAAAGCTCGATAGAGCATCGTTTGAGATTTATTAAACAGAGCAACGATTGATATCAAATATGGAAACTGCGCACAACAGCTAACAGTAAAACCAGAGCTAAGGAAAATAGGTATTATTCAAAGCTCGCTTCAAGTTTATAGACATCAGGTAAACATTTATAATTGGTTATATAATTCGTGCTGGTTGTTATTCGAGTATCTGTTTGATAATGTTTACGACTTATTTTTGTAATAAAACAAGAATTGCTTTAATAAACTTCTTTTACTAAAAACAAGTTTTTAATCTAAGTTTATGAAACATTTCTTTTTATTCGTTTTTTATTGGCAGCTTTTTAAAGCTGATTTTCAGACGGTTTTATGAGTCGCCAGGTTCCATAAAGTTACACGTAACTATTAAAAAAAAAAAACGACTGGAATAACACACAAACTCTAGCCGATAGATTCGCATTTATTTGACTTCTGCATCCTTGAAAATACCCGGAGCTACTATACGCAAGACAAGAACGATTACCAAGAGCTAACAGGACGATGTAACTGCAACGCAAACAAGGAATCTGCCAGGAGCTCAGAGGCCGATGAAATTTCTTGCAATATAAAAAATTGCATAATATTTCTTACGTTAGCATTTTTAATTGCATACCGATACAACAATATGTTGGGTACAAATTATATTAGAAAACTGAAACTATATAAACAAACAGAGCTGTATATATATTTTCTTTATTTTTCTATATTAGGGATATACTGTATTCATTATAAGTGGTTTAACTTTATACAAAATGTCTACAAAATTTGAGGTATTCTACGTTTACTTCAGATTTGTAAAAATGGCTCAAAGCTAGCATCGAAACATAATAAATATTGAAATTTAGTAATGTTCGCTGACATTGAAATGTATGACAACTTTGAAACAAACGGAGCAGTTTAATTTACAATTTTGAGAAGTTAGTAATTTCGAGAGTTGGTAAGCAAAAGGCTTTGAAGAAATTTAGTCAGACAAGGACGAGCAAATTCCTCGAATACGTATTTTGCAATTTCTGCTTCCTGAGTCAAAGATACGTCCTTCGAGGCGGATGCAAATTTCAAGCTAATTCAAATATTATGTATAAAGGGATATGTGCGCTGAAAGAGTCATGCAACAAAATGGAATTAATTTGCATAACACGGTGGCGTCAGAACAGCCGTGCAAATAATGGTAAGAAAATTAATTTCATAAGCGACATTGTGTTTTATCCTGTTCGGGGCAAACTGAACGGGAAGTTCGCGTCGAGTTAGAGGAAAACCGTAAGCATAATTAATGAAAATCCTATTGTGTCTACTTGTGGAATATTCATACATATTCGATGCATCCTTTGATACTTGACCCTGCAATAATCTTTGTACTCAATTTTGACTTTAATAAATGTTCTTTACATTTTCCTCAAGACAAGAGATAAAATAACGCGATCTTATCTACTAGTGACACAGACCTCACTGTCAATCACTTCAAATCGCTACATTATCCTAATTGAAGAACGAAAAGTTAACACTGCGTCTGTAATCCAGTAATGGATCAAACTTCTAAATAAACTAGCTCTGTACTAGCCAAACGATCAAGAAAATGTTATTCTTCATTCTGTAACTCACTGTCTTTTTTTGTTTTTTTTTTTTTTTTAACGAAAATAAAGTACTTTAATCTTGACTAAAATAAAATACCTAAAATCAGGGACGATAATATTATCTCACCCATTAAACGTACAAATCTCTGTACTAACCTACTAACCACATCAATGATAAGTCCACTCGATGAACCTTCCAAGCCTCGCTATTAATCGCATCCTATCCCTCGCTTATCTCGATTAAAAAACCTAAAAGATTACACCAGGTCGCCAAAGTACTCGAACCACCCCTGATCGAAAAATTCCATCGTGAGCACAACTTCTCGTCAACGATAACCCCACGTACCCCTACATGGAGAGGATTGATGATCCCCCGTCGGGTAGTGTAACGGGTCGATAATCGAAAGAGAGGGTGAACAGGCTCCTACCTTTCGTGGTTCGGGGGCGTAGATCCCTGGCAACGGTGCCAGCAGGTGCAAACCGGGATTCGGGATCCCGGAAGCGGGATGTCCAGGCGGTATCGGCAGCGGCACCAGCTTCAGGCCCCAGGGTAGGTACCAGGGCGCAGTGTGGTGCATGATCGCGGCACGATCGTGAATAATTCCACTGTACGCCGGGAACAACGCGCCAGGATGCGTTCACGGAACAGTCGAGGAGCTCACTTGGTCACCGTGGAGAACTCTCGTCGACGGCGAAGCTCGACCCGATTCAGATAAAAAAACAACCGCAATCAAGTGTGCGAAGACGATCGAGACGAACGTAAGAGAGGGTTTACGGGATCACCTTGGCATCTTCCGTGAAACGGGATCACGAATTGCCGATTTTCACCGCGATCGAAATCGATTTCTCACCCCCTCGTTTAAGGTGGAATCCTTGATCACACGCGCGCCGAGCAATCCAGGGTGCGCACTGTCGTCATCGTTGAACTAGCTTCCTTTGGCGATGGTCCGGGTTACGTTCCCTTTCGTTACGCGGTTTTTGGAATCAAGATAACCGCGGGATCAGACGTTGAATGAAAACTGTACCGAGAACACACGAAACGCTCGACGTGAGCGCGCGGCAACGACTGATCGCCGATAGAGCGTCGACGCGCGAGCACATGGCCGCGGCTACCCCCACCGTTCGCGGCGCGAACGGGCTGCTTCTAGGCCGCCAGACGCTCGCGAGCACCGCGAACCCCCGCGAGCACCACCACCCCCGCCGCCACCCTCTTTTCACTGATCCCCGGCACAGCCGTTTAATACGTTTGACTTTACCCCCAGCCCCCGACCCCCACCGGGAGTACTCCTTTCTTTCCTGATCCGTTGTTTTCTTTGCGTCCTGCGCATCTTTCGCCGGCTCGCCCACGCGTTTGCCGCTCTCGCATAGCGCACTGACGTTCCAACCGGGTTTTCAGGTGTTCTATAGCTATTTTGTACGATTTTAGATCTTTGTGTTTTTTGTTGTAGAAAATTTCAAATATGGAAATTGCATGGTAAAATGGGGCTCATGTTTCAGCGAGAAGGAATTTTTGTTAGCTTCGTCATATAACGAGATATGATGGTCAATTTTCGTTTTTCAAATGGAACTATATATATATATATATTTTTTTTTTTTTTTTATACCATGAGATAGTACTTTTCAAGACGAATTCATTAAGCTTTAATGTGTTTAACCGATTTTTATTAGTTTTCAAGCTTATAACGCTTCAAAGTTTGCTAATTTTCAGTAAGCACCATGCGGTTCTTGAAATCGATACGGAGGGTAAAAACGCTCGAGTGCAATGTTTTGGGTCTCCGATTTTGCATGGCTCCTTCAGTCGTACTGTATCTTCGAATGTGTTCCCAACAAACTTCGAGTGTAGAGAAGGACAGCGAATGAAGAAGAGGACGGAGCGACATGCAAAAATGGCGACCAACACCGGGATTATTTCGGTGAGACAACATGTAGTAAATATGTTGCGAATTACGTCGTGTTTGGTCTCATTTTAATCAGATGTCAGGAATGCGATGGTAACAGTTTTACAATAAAAACGGTAATAGTAAAAAAAAAAAGTTTGATCGTTGCATTAGTATTGTCTCGAGATATCCGATCCTGAATCATGTTCCTGTCCATTTCTCGTAGAGAAACTTTTGCATTTAAGGAGACTGTTGAATTATATACAACTGTATACTTATACAACTGTATAATTATCGAGTCTCGCTTGGCAAAGGATCGCAAAGGGTTATGGGGTGAGAGAAGACAGGGTCTCTGCCTGCTAAGATATTATCTACAATTATGACTCAGTGTTCTAATCAAGGAAAACTTCAATTCTTGAATCCACTCGTAGTACGCAGCGTGCACGACTACGCGTCCAAGAGGAACTTTTATATTTTATTTTTCTCAAAAGTGAATCCTCGTACGAAAAATATTTGATACCACTGTTTCGACATGTTGTTTTGCGAAAAATCGAACCCTGTACGTGCTCTATACTTTCGATATATTTTATCATTACGCATCTAGCCTTATACGTCTTCGATACTCTTTGTGAAATATTGCGAATAATACATTATTCTATGCATATTGTTGTCAGGAGAACCTTGAAATTCTATAGGAGACAGGATCCGAGAATAAAACACAAGATGTAAATATCATTCTTCGTCGTCGGATCTTCGTATATTTTTATACTTGGAAAAGGAATGTTATTCCAAGGTAAAACGACTCGGTAGTCGGTGTGATGTGAAAATCAAAACAGTTTTACAAAAATGGTGTTCAAAATCTAGCAGAGATATGGAGCAACTCAATATATTGAGAAGGAATGCAAGTAAATTTTTATGAAAAAAATCACAACGTTGAATCGATAAAATTTCTTTAGTCTTGATACTTTTCACTCAAAATCTCGATTGTTACAAGCCCTAAAATCTGGTACGTGTCGTTTGGAATTACGGTGACAGCATTCCGTTCCTTGCCCTAGAGTAGCGTCGGAGGAAGAACTTCGAGATGATCGATTGAAAAGACATCGAGGAGCATCGATTAAAACCGCGATCCGTTACTCCATCGAAATTTCATTTCGCACGAGACTCCCTTAAAACTTTCCAGCCCCGAACCCGAATCTGGATTTTGCCGGATAAATTATTTCTTGGATTAAATAACCGCGCACGAGCTCGCCCGATCGAGGAATCGTCGACGATTAAATTACACGGCAATTTCATCGACTCGTTAGAAACTCGGTTACGGATTCGCGCAAATTATTTACATTCTCATTAAATATAATTGCCGTCGGACGGGTTGCAATCTAAAATTGGACACACACCGGGGGGAGCTAACTGTATCTAACTTCGCAGCCGCTGGATACTCGTAGACTATTCAAACGAGATCCCATATTACGACGGTCCTCCCCTAACGAATCATATATTTATCGGCGTAGACTCGCCTGATTCGACAACTCCGCGAACGAGCTCAGTTAAAATGTCATCAATGAAAAAGTGAGTTATGCGATTCGACCACAAGAAAAAAAAAAAAAAAATTAAACCATATAACTATTGTATTAATGGAATTGTAATATTAAGTTTGCTGTAGTAAAACAGATGCCGGGTTACTTGAGATATAGTACGTATATAGTGGCAAATTTAATGATAACAGTGGCGTGGGAAAGTTTCCACATAGTTATTACAGAGCTTTGTTGCTTTGACTGCAAATTCATCGAGTGGAGGTAAATCCACGGCGGAAAGTCGGCGGAACTTATCCGCCGTATGGTCACCTCCGCTCCCAGCAATAGCAAGTGCAATGATCAGCAAGTGTAATGACGCCGCATTAATATTAATATTCGACATTTGTTTCTGAGCAAACGCACGTTTGTTCATCGATATTTGCTTTAACATACGGCACAGCGTGCACCTGCTGTTTGCCGATGCCTCTCATTTCTGCACGATTTTAATAGCGTCGAAAATCCATTTCGGTAGCGTCTGTTTAAAATCCGCGCGCTCAACAACGTTGCGAAAATCGGCATTTATTAACATTATTAATATAGAATTCGAAATCTGTGCGTTCGCGATTTTCCTATAATTCCTACTATTTTCGTTCGATCTAAATGAAATTTTGGGTGGTTCACCTTTACATTCCCACGGAAGAATTTAATACGAATAGGTACAATTACGAGCAATCATCCTCGAATTTATCAAAGTTCCTCCATGGAAAACAAGAGAGGGATCGTTAGAGCCTCAAACGAACAGACTATTTCGCAAGGTGACCAGAAGTCTGAGACGAATCTTGCGAAACGGTCCACGTGTTATTATCCCTGGTCCCTCCCCCCAAGTCGTGCACGTTGAAACTTATTCGAAAGTTTCGACGTTTCATGGAGACAAAAAAAACATAAATTCCTCGGGCGTCCCTCTCGACCGATAGGATTTCGTCTGAAATGGAAGGCTTCTCTACCCTGCTTTGTATGCGATACGTATCACGTTCGCAGGGATTGATTGCTACCGGGGGTTGGTTGTTCATTCAGCGAAGCAGTAAAATAGCAACTCAACGGGGTTGGGGTTTATTTTTCTGTTATTGTTCCAAACTCTGCCATTCTCTCAGTCGTTTCGCGTTGACAAAAGGCATCGGTTGAAACACGACAAATAAGATAACAATTTATTCTCCACATCGTAAACTTAGTGTGTTCCAAGATAATGTAATTTGAGGTTAGTTTAGAAACAAAATAGCTGTTGACAAATATGTACTCTTTCCGAAGGTACAAAGTAAAAAGATGAGATTATTTACTATTCCAAGAACAATTATTCATCTATTATACAATATTATACAATACTAGGCTCTCTATTACTCGCAGAAGATACAAAAGAAATCATTTAAAAAACGATAGAATTTTTCCGTAGAGTGTCATTTAAACCGTCACGGCGACTTCTTGGAGGGAATGTTTCCATTAAGCGATGTATCGAACCGTCCGCGAAAGGGGGCGTTCTCGATTGGACGCGCGATTTCACGCGCGCGTTATTCCATATCGGACACAATGTTACGCCGCGTTACGTCGCATGTACGTAACAGCAGAAACTCGCGTGACGAGTCTCGCGTCAACGACTGGGAAATCTCACGTGTCGATGCCACTAATCGATACCATACACTGCAGCTGTCAAGATACCATCGATCCCTGAATAATCACACTCGGAACGATGATGTCGCGAATCATGATCGTAATTACAAGCCGCTTTCAAAGTCGTCTTTGGGAATTAATTACAAGGAACCGAATGGAAATCCAGACCTTTCATTTGACGCAATTGTTTATACGTATGCCAAAGATCGAACAAATATTTTTAGTTACATACATATGTATGTTGAAAATGGCCTGCGCGGGATTGATGGAAGGGCCATTTTTAAACAGTTCTGAAACTGATTGCATACGATGGTTTCCCTAAATAGTTTACTTCGCTCCAATTTCGAGCAAGTGCACACTCTTGTTAATCGACGCTCGTTAGCTGTCCACTTAATGAGTTACACCGAAGAGCATTAGCGTACTCGGAATTTATGAAACGTTAAGGTAGACTTATCTGATCATCGTCAGTTCATCGATTCGAGGGTGCATATGCATGGGGTACATGGCTTGCCACGAACGAAAAGTTTCTTGCACAATTAACGTTGCAGGCTCGTTAACTTTCGCAAAGCATGTTATCAAAGAATTTGTTGCGACACGTTGCTAGACACAATTAAATAATACAGTGGCCATTTATTAAATTATCTCGTAAGCATCTCTAATGTATCTTTGACTTTAACGACATACGATATTATAACCATGTGTTCTTCAATTGAGAAATGCGAATACCAATATATACAAATATATGTATTGTACATTACAATAAATCGAAACTGAAGCCCTCGTTGTTTTTGGTATATTTCACAGATTTTTGTCTCGAACTCTTTCCTAGCAAACGACACGATACAAAATTTAGAAAAATTCCACCTTAATTAAATTCCTAAGGCTAAGTCGACGAAACACTTCACCACCTCCCTCGTCGCCTGTTCTCTTCAGACACACACGTTGCAGCGAAAACTCTGGTCAGAGAGCAACCAAAAGACAAGGAACGCGATCAAAAGGGAAACATCCTTAATTCCAGAGAAAAAGAAAAAAGAACAAATCGTCGTGATATACAGGGTGTTCGGTAACTGGCGGTACAAGCAAAAAGGGGGTGTACATGAAAAAATAAGTCGAAAATATAGAATAAAAATTTTTCACGTGAGACTGTT